AAAGCCTTTTTCCGCTCAATGTCATTAAGTAATATACTTTTACACTCATTCTGAATAGAAAAAAAGGACTAGTCCCACCATAACCAGTATAAGAAAGACTCTTTTACAATCATTAGCATTCCGGAAAGTACTTTTACAGTCATTAGCATTCTGGAAAGTACTTTCCGGAATAGTAAAATTATTATTCATATAATTCCGGAAAGAACTTTCCGTAATAGTAACTTTAATATTATGGAAAGTACTTTCCGGAATTATGTAATAAAACATTTCCGAAAAATACTTTCCGGAATAAGAATTTAATATTATGGAAAGTATTTTCCGGAACATTTTTATATAATTTCGGAAAGAACTTTCCGTAACAGTAAGAAGAAGAAGAGTGCCAGAAAGAGAAAGAAGAGGGGTGTGCGAGGTGCGGGAAAAAAAGAAGAAGAAGAGGAGTGCCACAAAGAGAAAGAAGAGGGGTGCACAATGTCAGGTCTTGTAAGAGAAAGACTCTTACTTGTTTTATGGAAAGAAACACTAGTACAAAAATGACTTTTAAAATCGGGGTTTTAAAATCACTCATAGGGTAGCCATTTTAAAAGTGACGCGGTGGCCTGTACAACAACAGAACGGCCCTAGAACGGCATGTACTGCTTTCAGTACGGCCCGTACTGCAGCAGAACGGCCTGTACTGCTTGCAGAACGGGCCGTACTGATTTCAGAACGGGCCGTTCTGAAAGCAGAACGGGCCGTTCTGAAAGTAGAACGGCCCGTTCTGGTGCCGTTTCAGACTAAAGTTTACATGCAAATACAGGATAAGGGGGGTGCGGGGAAGGGAGGTGTAAATTTAGGAATTTCATTTTTTTTAAAGGTAATTTAGACATTTTATATATTTTTTTTTTAAAAAGGGGTGTGTTTATACGAAAGTGGAGGTGTGTTTATCATCTGCCCAACAAATTTTATGAGTTTCAATTAAAAAAAAAAAACAACACAACTTGTGTTAATCAGTCCAATAAAAAGATGTTAAAAGAAAAAAAAGACTTTAGCCAATTATGTTCAAAATGGATCCAGAAGCACTACTATCTCAAACATTAAAAAATATATTTAGTTTTCTTAATTTTTTAAATATTTTAACGTCTACATTAACTAATTATTTAATAATGTACTTTTTAATTAAACTAATTTATCTACCTACCTTTTATAAGATAATACAAGGTATATGGTTTATATGTATATAAAAATTAATAAGATTTTATTTTAAAATAAATATTGCACTTTAACAAATAAAATGAAATATATATATATATATATATATATATATATATATATATATATATATATATATATAAATAATTTTAATATGATTTTGAAAAAAAAAAATACAAAATATTGCTCACAAGTAAGTAACCTTGAAAATAGTATAACTTTTGATGTTCGAGTTCTCAGTTATGCTACAGTGAAAACAATAATCAAATCAAAGCATAACATATATTTAACACATATAAGACAATATTAATTTAAATTTACAATAAGTTGGGCGCACAACACAACCATGTCTACTGTGGGCCTTGAAATCAAATACATTTTGACGCTCAATATTAAAACTAAAAAACTTGAAAACTACAATGTGTAACAAATTTTCAAAACAATAATGTAATGTTGTTGTTATTTATGTAACGTTGAAAAGGATATTAAGTTTCAATGCTACATTTCTAACTTATGTTGCAATGATAACAATAAAATCAAAACAGTATAAAGATAAATCAAATACAATAATATAACAATTATAATCTCAAATGCAATATATAAGTCTAGAAAAGTGAATCAACCTAACTTATCACAATCAAAAAACTTGAAACGGGCATACATGCCTACAAAATACACACTCATCCTTAAACACTTAAGTTACACAAATACTGGATCCTAAACACTTAAATGACAAAATAAAATTTGGACCCTAACATTCTAGTTTCTCTTAATCTTAAAGTTTCCCTTCAAGTATTTCAATGACAAGTCATAGTGTGATTTACTAACGTGAACTCCTCTTTATAGGAGTTAACTCCTCTAAATCATTTTCCAATCTAGTTACTTTCTTTCTTGCACACTATATATCAAAAAAACAAACTCTTGATGACAACCACTTAATAAAACTAATTTAACTAACATTAGACACTTAAGAAATCCATTTTGCTAAGTAAAGCTTCAACGTATTCATCATTTTTGTTAAACGAGACTTATCTTGTTAAGAAAAACTGCATTGTCCATCCTACTTTCAACCTATGAAGGCTCACTCAATAAGAATGTGGAGCACCCTTAACATGTAGGACGCTTTAAGAATCAAAATTCACAACCACACCATCCAAAACTTCCTTTACAAAAATCATGATAACCAAATTAACAACTAATCTCACATGCAAACATAAAACATCAATTAAATCATTCCCCCTCAAGAAGGACCCAAAATCCCAACATATGTAAATCTTCCAAATATCAACATAAAGCCATTAAATTGGCTTTCAACTCATCATTAAACACTAAGAAATATTAAACCACAAATAAACAAGCTTCCCTTTAATTAACTTCCTAGAAGCTAAAATCAAAAAGAAAAGGGAAAACTCGGCTGATTGACCAATTTGGGGTACTTTTTAAAACTATTTACGTAAATGGAGCTGTTTTGAAATTATTTACACCTTTGGGGAAGTTTACTACAGTGTCGTTATGGGTCATAGCGACATCAGTGCCACGTGTAATTTTTTTTTGTTGTAAATACGAACAACTTAAATTTAGTCAGTAGAAGTCGCTACAGACTTTATAGGAGTCGCTACCGGCTGTGGTATCTTTTGTAATATGACGTTCATGGCTTGTAAAAATTAAAGAATTAACACGTGGCATTGGTGTCGCTATGTCCCATAGCGACACTGTAGTCAAATGCCCCAAAGGTATAAATAGTTTCAAAACAGCCCTATTTACGTAATTAGTTTTAAAAAGTACCCCAAATTGATCAATGAGCCGGAAAATTCTATAAAACCTCAAGGGTCAACTTTTTTTTCTCAAACTTGTGCTCTATGGACTCTCGATCAACTTTCAAGGCGTGATTTCAATTTCAAAGAAAGGTCTTGAAGCTCTTAGAAGAATTTGGAGAAGAAACAATCTTCTTAGATTCCAAAGCACCTCTCTCTAACCACTCTCTAAAAAACTTGAAAATGAAACTTATGACATGCATTTTCCATTTTCATATTTATACATCTTCCATTTTTTTTATCAAATTTCTCAATCAACTTTGACCTCTAAACTACAACTTTACAACTTATCCTTTAAGGATTTCAAATTCATAGAAGTCTACTATACAACACAACATATAACATATAACATAAAATCAACATATAATTATATAAAAGCATATTATTATTATTATTATTATTACTAAGTTTAATATATTTTTGTCCTTGTAATATGGTTTTTATGTTTTATTCTTTATAATACTTTTTTTAAAATATCCTTATAATATTATTTTTTTCTTTTCAATTTTATTTGTTGGTCAATAATTCTATTTGATTTATTGACATAAGTGAAATTAATACTTAGTATTGGAAAAAGTCAAATCCTATATCAACTAGAAATAATGTATCTAAAATGTATACAAGTGAGAGACAACGTTCACTTTACATGTTAATTTTTTAAGATTGAATTAAGACTAAACTCAGTATTCTAAGATAATAATAAATTTATCTAAATTTACTTTAAAGGAGCTCTCCATCATTAATCTACGTATCGCTAATAGTGTCATACATGAGAGGATGTATTGAAAAAAATCTAAATCTTACACCGAATAAAGATAAGGCTTCTATAAATGGATACTCATGGATAATTTAAATAGATATACCTGTACTCGTTAATAAATGGGGATAAAGATGAATATCATGATAGATCCATTAAATATCCGCTATAATAAAATTACTTAAATTTCTTTGTTAAAATATATAACGTGTTAAGTACAAATAAGATATTACTTTTTTTTTATTTAGACTTGTGAGATTGAAATATTTATAATTTTTTAAACTTTTATTTTGGACTTGTGGAATTGAATTATTTTAATTTATTATATTTGTTTAAACTTATGGGATTGAAGTACTTTAACAATTAAATTTAGTTTTTAAATTAAAAAATCTTGATTAATAAAATTGAGTATAATATTTTGAATAATTTAAGTTTTGACTTTTAAACTATTACTTTTAAAGAAATTGTTAGAGTAAATAAAAATTATTATTAAAGTACTTTTAAAATTATTTGTTAAGTCTCAAAATAATAGGTTTAAGTCTATAAATTTGACTTATGAAATAAATGTTGTCTCTTAAATATGTTATTGGGATGGGACGAATAAGGATAGTAGTTTTCAGCTACCTATTCTGCTAGATAAATATTCATCTTATACTCATACTCATATTTATTAAGTAGATATTCACATATTTTTTTAATATTTACGAGTATCCACAAGTATCCATAAATATTTATTAAAAAATATAAATAACTTAATAATAATTTCTTAAAAATTATTAATTTAAAAATAAAAACTTAAAATTATTCAAATATTATACACAATTTTGTTAATCAAAATTCTTTAAATTAAATTGTTAAGATACTTCAATCGCACAAGGTAAAAATCCCATAAAAAAATTGTCTAACAAATAAAATCCTACGTCATAAGAACGGGTTACAAAAATATTTAAATGAAATTTTTTTATAAAATAAATGTATTACAAAATTAAAACATGATTAAGCCTAATTAATTTACATTACATTTGTTAAATATGTAACTATTTAGATTTTCAAACGTCCATCTTAAAAATAAAAAATAATATTATTATTATTAGCATAAAAAAGACACTATTATTTTTAATAAAGTGAATAATTATTTTTAAAAAATATAAAATAAATGTATAAATATATTTAAAAATTGGATAAATGTTATAGATTATTGTTCTCTTGGTGTTTCATAAAATAAAAATCATAAAACGAAATAAAGATGGAAAGGAGGAATTGGAGAAAGAAAAGGCCATCCAATTCAATGGTTTGGGACGATTGATTGATTCTAGAGCGTTCAGTTCAAACAGGAGCGATTGTTTAGAGTTTAGAAAGATATAGATGCCTGTGGCGGTAACGATACCCAGTTATCAGCACCGCGTCTACGCTTCACTCTTTGCCATCGCCAAGGCCAACAAAACCATGGCCAGCACCAGCAATTCTTCTGGAGCCTTCACCACACTCCAAGACAAAGTCACTTTCGAGAAAGAGATCAAAAAGAGCAAGTTCATCGCCATTGCTGGCCCCATCTCCGACCAAAATTCCGCCATGTCTTTCCTTTCCCAGGTTCTTTTTCTTCCGCTTTTTTCTACACACAATGTTTTTGTTTTTTTCTTTTTTAACTTTTCGCTCCGTTTATTCTTAGGTCCGGGATCCACGTGCCACCCACAATTGCTGGGCTTATAAGGTACCCTAAAGCCTTGTTTTTTACTTCCCTGAAACAATGAATGATGGATGTTTGTATTTTTGCCACTGCATTTTATGAATGTTTCGCTCATGAGGAATGGTATAAGTAGGACTTTTTTGTTTTTTCCCCATCTTTTAGTTGGACTTGGAGTTAGTACCACTTTCTGGTCGCTATGTTTTGAGGTTTCAGGTATCATTGTGGCAATTATAGTTTAGAAGTCTCAGCTTAAGGGTGGCTGATTATACTTTGCTCATTAGCTAGTTTCTTTAGAAATTAGGGGTGTTGATTGGATTTGGAGAAGAGAAGAGGCATAGCATAAGTGAAGTTAGAAAACAAAATGATGCATGTGTAAAGCAGAAAATGAGTTGCTTCCTTTTGCCCATTTGTTTATTTTATTTTTTCCTTTTTCTCTTTCATCTTGTATAACAGGTGGGGGATCAATTCCGGTCTAATGATGATGGGGAACCTTCAGGAACCGCTGGGAAACCAATTCAATCTGCTATTGATTCTTCAGGAATAGATAGAGTAATGGTGGTTGTGATCAGGTTAATCTCTCTACCTTATTTTAACATTTCACATATTCATATTAATGTCTATTACTTTGAATTAATGAAATATGCTAGTTTGCGTACATTTGATTCTGCCATTTTTTACCCCAAAATTAATGTTTTGATGCCCTAATGAGGTTTATGCATCGTTGAAGTGTGATAAAATCAAGATTGCGCATCCTTGAGTAATTTTTACCCCAAAAAACTGTGGCATGGGCTTTTGGTTGGTCTTGTACATAAGCCAGTGTTATGTGTATTAAGCACCAAGCTGTTTTGTGTTGGTGCTGGATTTGGATATAATTTGTATTCTGATCAATATTAAATTTCAGGCATTTTGGAGGTATCAAATTAGGTACTGGAGGATTGGTCAGGGCTTATGGAGGAGTTGCATCAGAATGCTTGAGGAATGCCCCAACTTGCCTTGTGAAAACTAAGGTGGTTATTTTCGTAGTCTGTAATGCATCTATAGTCTTAGCTGTACCCAGCATTTCACTTTCTTGAAGGCTTTTTGAACACATTATGGTTGCAGCTTGCTTATGGTGTGTCAATTTATGAATAATCTTGTGAAAATTGTAGGTGCCAATGGGTTTAGAGGTTCCCTTTGACCTAATTGGAGTTCTCTACCATCAGGTTAGTTCTTGCAGATGTTTATCGATTACTCCCTGATTGTGAATAAGCTTCTTTAAGTTTGACTTGGATTGGATACTGAAAAAAAATTATGAGAAGTACAAGATTTTCCCAAAATATTTTTGGATATTCATATCTGTTGTGACTTGTGACGAGCCCCTGCAAATGAATGAATTTACAATAATTTGAGCAATGTAGTTTAATTCTTGTTATTGACCCTTCGTTTTTGGCCTAGCATGTCTAGACTGCGTTGTTAACTTTTCCTTATTAGAGATTTTGCTCGTAAAAAATGTCTGTAGTTTAGAAATCCAAACTTCTCTTTGTTTTTCGTTAATGCAATGATTACAATCTCGCGTCTGGTACTTGTGCTTATGGTGGTTCATGATGGTGAGGAGTGTACATAAATTTAAGCTGCACCCTTACAATTACCACTTGTATCTGTTTCTTTTATTGCAATAACTATACATGGTTAATGTCTTCTAATTCTAAATGTTTCCACGTATATTGATCATTGCTGTGTTTCATTTTTTCTTTCTTTCCAGCTGCAGTCTTTTCACGTGGAAGACATCAAGCAGGATTACGATACTGGTAAAGATGGCATAACTATGGTTACATTTAAAGTTGATTTTGACCAAGCTGAGAAATTGGAGGATGCACTGAAATCTCATTGTAGCAGAGAATTGAAGTTTTATAAACGTTGAGACATGAGATGAGACTTGGGATTTTGATTATATTTTTCTCATATATGGTTTGATGCTTCTTCATCTCTAGGCTTTGACTAATTTGCAGATGAGATCTAACTTGTTTACAGAATAGCTTTAAAAACTAAAAAGTATTTGTATGTAATTTTCTAATTGTATTACATAATTTGTAAATTCAGTACAAATTACAACAAATTATCTGGAGTTTAATTTACTTATTTACAGAGAATACATTTGTTTTGCATTGTTACGATGATTTAACTGTTATTGCTCTGATAGCAGCTGCTAGCAACTACTAGTATAAAACTCATTTCTTATACATAAAAAAAGATTCAGTGATACCCGAATATGAACTAATGAGTAATGAATATAAAATAACGCACCGAAGAAGACAAATACAGGACTGGTAACGATCCAATTTATTGGACATGTGAAGAAAATCATCAGCTTTTGCAGAACATTTCTGTGCGAGTCATGTTCTGAAGTTGATTTAACTTGTACTCCACTATCAGACAATTAAATATTTTAGGTAAACGAAATTTAAATATAATTTTTCATCATTCATAACAAATCAAGGTCAGGCAATAATGCCCACTACTAGCTATTTTCGCCACTTTTTCCTTTTCATCTAATCACCATAATGGATTCCTCTAGTCTCAATTCGTGTATGACGAGGGCCCCAACTGAATTATCAATAAAATATCATCAAACCAAAAACCCCGTCTTCCTCCATTTTTACCGTCAGTCATGTAATCAAACCAAATGTAATCTGGTTTCTCATAAATTTAATCCGCTAACCAAAATTCTTAGTGTCTAAGATACAATTCAGATATATTCATTATGATTCCATGACCATCGCACTAATCAACAACAAAAAACTAGCTAAATTTCATAATGTAATTCATACTGTACCATTTAAATACTTCATTATGATTCATTCCCAGACTCTAATAACAGCTACAAAAAACAGCCCCATGATTCATTCACAAGTGCAAGACACCTTTCGGGCTTCATCAAGTGAAAGTCACAAACCATATTCATTCCCAGCAAACTGAATAACAAAAATAAATTAGAGTCCCCGTTATTCCCACTAAAAACCAAATTTGCGTTGCTTGCAAAAATAACGACACAAGAAAAGGGGAGAATAAAACATTTCATTTCATTTCATTATGCACATATATTACAATCGGCAGAAGCGGCATTGCAAAACTGCAAAATACAAGCAATGTAAGCCTCTTTTCCTAACAAAAGAAAAATAAAACATAATAAACAAGAACCCTAGCAAGTTCCGATTTCCCAAAATTTGTGACAAGAACGACGTTACACACTCCGTTCAATCACTCGCGGAATCCAAGTCACCATTGGCATCAACAAACACTTTCATTTTGACCCTATTAGCCACTGTTTTAACCCTCAACCTCTTCCTCCCGGCACTGCCATCATCCCCTAAACGACACCGTTCGCCAACAGGGTACCTCATAGGCAAGCTGACGTGGTAGCAGTAGTACTCGTCCTTCCCCGCCACCACCGACTCCAGCGGCGGGGGG